AAAAAAAAGAAAAAAGCAAAAAAAATTAAATATAACCTACCCAGCCATACAGTCACAGTGAGCTGTGACTATTCCCCCACATGCTTCGTGTCTGGCCACAAACCATATTCGTGGCCAGACACGAACATGGGCTTTCTGTAGATTGGTGTGAATAGTTGATTTACATTGGACCTGAATCCAGCGTCCTACAACGACTCAACATTAACATACAACATACAGCATGATTTTGGGTTTATAGAAGCTAAATAAGTTATTTACCAGGAGATCCAAGCTCGTAGAAATAGCATGGGTTAGTTCGTTGTTAGCGATAGCATCGTTATCATAGACTAATTACTTAAAATAGCACAACTCACTACTCACCCGGCAGAAACAAGTCGACAGCCATTTAATGCTTCTTTTGATCCTAAGTGCTTGACCCAACTTGAAACTAAATGATTGTATTCTCCAGGCTTTTGAAAACTTTCTTCTGTCTCGTCGTATAATATGAGATCTGCAGCTCCAGGTAGTTAGTTATGGGGATTGTCTCGATACCGGGTAAATTCTCAAGATTATAAGATTAGTCTTTTTTTTTACAGCGATAATACGGATCATATCCTAAATATATGCATATTTTTTCGAGATGCATCGTTTGTTCCACCCTATTTAGGACATTATTGTACTTGATGTGATCAATTTTGGTTTGTTTTGAACCAGAGAAATCCCCTTCCGGCCCTCCATCTGAATTTTGCACGTCATCCAGGTCACTTGTCTGAAACCCAGCAATACTCCAGCTTTTAGTTTATGTATAATGTAAGTAAGATGGGGGTGGAAATACAAACAAACAAACCTAATGTGTGGGTGGGGATGTGGGGGAGACGCGACCAGTAGACTAGGGGACGAACGCAAGAACGGGGGGGAGCAATACGGGATATTTACGGCACCTTCGTTCGTCACACTCAGAAACTCATCTACCAGCCATTTACCACCACGATGATTTCTGCCACCCGTTTGTTGAGACCGGGATAATATGAAAGTTATTGTGCGGTTCGTCCGTAAAGCTACACTTTCACTTTAACCATCAACTTCTCAGCGGCCCGCCATGTTCAGTCTATCCGCTTACCCTTATAAATACTCCTGCAGCGCTCTTCCCACCGTTCGCTTTGGACCAGCAGCTCCCAGAAGAGAAAAGCTGGTGTACTCCAGGCATCACGCCAGTCATTTTAAGGATGATTATTGGCCCTCCAAAAACAATGAAAACCCGGGCATTATCATCAATCAACTTGAAAATTGGACGTTATGCCGCTAACACTTAGCTTTTGTCAACAACTCAGAGGCGGAAGTCAGAGCGACACGTAATGCAAATAATGTCCTGGCTGGAACATGGTGCTCAAAATAATAAAACATAAATTAACAAAGCTTCAAGGCAGGTCAATTTTCTTTAAGGAATTTTAATAATCAAGGTACTCAAAGGGCTGCACAGTGGCACAGTTGGTAGAGCTGTTGCCATGCAGCAAGAAGGTCCTGGGTTCGATTCCTGGTTTTTCTGCATGCAGTTTGCATGTTCTGCATGTGTGGGTTTTCTCTGGGTACTCTGGTTAATTGGTCTCTCTAAATTCTCCCTAGGTGTGTGTGCATGGTTGTTTGTCCTGTGTTGCTCTGCGACAGACTGGCGACCTGTCCAGGGTGTACCCCACCTCTCGCCCAGAACGATAGCTGGAGATAGGCACCAGCACCTCCCAACCCCACTAGGGACAAGGGTGTAAGAAAATGGATGGATGGAGGTACTCGAATCGTTTCAGTCCTAATTTAAACCCACAATTAGACTTAAAAATGACAAATCAAAAAATAAAATTAATATTAATTATTTGCACTTCTGTTTAATCCAATTTAAGTCAGCAGCTCCATAAGGCCCCCAAGGGCTTCAGGGCCCCATAAATGCTAATATTTTAACACAGACCACAAATATATAAATGTAACATTTGTTTATTGAGATGATCAATGCTGCTAAGTTTGATTTAATGGTTTCAGCATTTATAAATTAAAAGATTTTTAATTTGTTCACAAATACAAATGAGCAAACTGCTCATTTGTATTTGTTATAACAATCAATAACTGATTGTTTTTAGTTTGGCCAATTAAATCTAACACAAAAGCTGTTAGAGTTGCTGATGTTTTTAGCAGCAACAGGGGCCCCTAAGTCAAATTCTGCTCAAGGCCTCATACAGCCTTGTACCGGCCCTGCATGATGAGTTAAATCTGCTACACTGTGCACTGAGATGCACAACGAATGGGAGATTTAATTCAATGCTTCTAATGTGGCTTTAGTAGCTCTTTGTTTTCGTGTCTGTTGGGTTTTTAATACGGCCCACAGAAACTGATTTGGTTTGTTCGAACTTTAAGGGATGAGATTTTCTGATCTCCGCGTGGCCGCAAGCATTAACTCTGGCTGACTAAGTAGACAAAGCATTTTATATGGTTTGGTGCTTTGTGTAACCGGAAAGATAATTATAAAATAATATAAAACCAGTGTGATGCGTGACTATGAGGAGAGTGCAAAAGCTCCTCTCCGGGCTGAACCTGCATGATGAAGTTAGCGCTGGTTCGTTAACCACTAATGCACCGCCAACCGGGTACACATACATAAACTTAATCATCACAAACTGAGCCAGGCCCTGGGCAGCGTGTTGGGATGTAAATGCCGTACAGAATCCTTAGTTCACCAAGATAAATCAGTCTCACCGCTCGCTCATCACGCACCTCAGAAAGCGCAACTACAAGTTATTCCTGCAGTTCACAACCAGAGCTAACGCGGCAGGGTTTAAACTCCTACCTTGATGTGGAGTAGGCCACTCCAAAGAAACATAATTCCACACAGTGGGTTGATGTAAATATCTCTACAGGTCAGCCTGGGTCCAGTTTGAGTGAAAGGAGAAGCATGTGATCCATGCTGAGTTAAACTTCAGACATCCAGCTGCTGCAGCACACGCGCTAACAGTGTGATTGGTCTGGCTGTAAATGCATCAATTATAAACCTATCGTCTATAAACATGACTTTTAGGAAAAAATCTGTTCCGCCAGGGAAACGCTCAGAGCAACAGAGACACTTGCAATCGGGAAAAAAAAAAGAAATAAATAATTAAGCGATTTAAAAAAAAAACAAAAAAAGCATCATTATTATTATTATTATTTTCCTAGGAACAAAAACAAGCAACGCTTAGCCTGGCGGGGGGGCTAGTAAAGCATGGCGGACCGCCAGGCTTATAATACACTGGAGGAAACCCTGCAGTCTTGCTAAAAAAGCAGCACACAAACAGCTGCAATGTGTGATGTTAATAACTGGATTCATAGATCTCACTTGGATCTGAATATGTCCAGCTGTGTGGAAGTGCTTCCAAAAAAAAAATCCAACTGCTGACAGGGATTCTAGTGACGACAAAAACCTAGAACAGAGTTTTGTTCTACTGTGACGAAGTCCAGCAGGAAGTCCTGCTGTGACTCCTCCCTTCAGGGAGCTGTGCATAAAAACAGCTTAAATGCTATGAGTTTTTACCTGTGTTGCTCTTCAGTTTTTCTTGTTCCGCCATGGGTGGGCCCAACACATGACATATTCCTCTGTTTTCTTCTTTGTGTGTTGTAGCAGAAGAAGAAAAACCCCAGTCTTTGGGCCCCGTGGCCCTCGCTGCGGTGATTGCATGCCCAGTGTGTGTGCTGTGTCTGCTGCTCATTCTGGCATTCTACATCTGCCACAACCAAAGAGGTCTGGGTGCCGGCGGAGCGGGGGCCCTCCACCACCGTGTGCCCAATGAGGAGGACCCCTCCATGGATCACCCCTTCATCACTGTTGGAACAACGCTCAAAGACCTCATCTATGACATGACCACATCCGGCTCTGGATCAGGTACTGCTCACTTACCTGCACTTACATTTTAGTTTTTAACTATCGCTACAATACTCAAAGACCTTGCACTAAACACAAATGACTGTGGGAAATCCTTGTATTATTGTGTTTATTAGTTTGACCTCTTATTGGTCAAACTAATAAGATTGCACTTCCTTGAGAAAGAAATGCAATTTTCAAAAATGGGTGTGACCAAATAGCTGTCCCACTCTGGCTGCTTTGAATGCAGATGTAAAACTAGGTACAGATGTATCTTTTGCCATGTTGGAATGTTGATCGCAGTTTTTTTTTCAATTTGAGGAGCAGAAAGCTTTTTGCTTTTAATTTATTTTCATTTATTAATATGGCACCAGTTCATAACAAATACCCATCTGCAGGGCGTCCAGTTTAGGATAACTGCTGATGTCCTCACTGTTTGGAATTATGTCCTCTTCCTGCCTGTCCTGAAGCCTCAGAGTAGGCAAAAAAACCACAGGCTTTATGTTGCAGCTACGCTAGGCCTTGTTGATGACCAGCTGTTCATTGTGTGTGATCATTAGCTGCTGACTTAATTTGGAATCTGTCTGGAACAGGGCTCCTGAGTCCCATCAAGTTAGTCACAAACTTGACCTAGTTTCTTAATTATGTGGCTGAAAAAAGCCTGAGGTTGCAGTAGTGCAACAAGTCCTTCTGAAATAAACCCTCTGAACACGGAACATCTCCCTGAGGTTCAACAAGAATACCCATATAGTACTCTAAGCCAATCGGAGATGGCGCGATCACCAACCCATTATAGAAAAGATTTCACTGATATCAAACTATTCGTTGGCTCATTTATAGCTGCTGACCAGTTGCATGTTTCATTGGTATTTTGACATTTTTCATGCAGTCATTCAGGCTAGATTTTCTCCATGCTGTAGTGTTATAGTAATCGAGACCGGTCTTGAAACCACTTTTTGATGGTTTTAACTCAGACTCGACCGCATTTGGTCTCAGTCTTATGTCGGTCTACGACATTGAGGACTCTGGGTTTTATTTCAAGACCACAACTGTATCACTTAAGTGCCAGCATATTGTCTAGTTTATTTGTCAACATCCTTGTTTTCAGTGGATGCAAAACATACAGATTCAAATCCAAGCAGTAACGTGACTTACTAATTACATGTTTTTGTTACCACTGCCACCCATCACCTCCCCCTTTAACTTGCACGCGGTGCTCCAAGACATGCGCAGTTTGTCTTTGAGTGGGAGAAAATGTCTGTCTAATCATTGGTAATAAATTTCCCTACATAAATGATAAGAAAGTACGACATTTGAATTCAGCAGCGCTTCACTTTCAGAGACGGTTGGGACTAAGTCCAACTTAGTGTCACTTTGAAAAGAAGCTCAAAGAAAGGTAAGCTTTGTGAAATGATGTTACTAAAGCTAGTTGTACAGGGACAGATATGTTGCATTTGTGATTGAAAAAATCCTGTCACTTACTGCGCTTATTGTGCAGAGGTGTTGACTGACGTGCCACACGTGTGACGACACTGTGACCAAATGCTGCAATATAGTGATGTGACTTTCAC